CGGACGAGTGGACTGATCTGCCTGTGCCGTGACCGCTACAGCTCGATTCAGGTGCGTCGTCCGGAGTGTTGACAATTGGAGCCGAAAATGCAGACATGTGTGAGGTGCCAAACACTTTTCGATCGGTCGGACTAGACATTAGGCCCATGGTATCACAGACACTGAGTGACGGTTCCCCTGACTGATCCGACACCGAAAGACTGCATTTTTCCCATTCATTGATTGAACCAGTCAATATCCATATCCGATGGAATGAACCATCCTTTAGAAGTAGAACGAGGGAAGAAGGATAGATAGGTTTTACAGGGGATAAACGAATTCTGCAAGTTATTAGTTCACATTTATCTGGCCCGGTCTGAATCAACAAGGGTCTTGTTGATAAAGAAATAAATCCAGAATTTGTCCGTGAACACGATGCTGCCCGGCTGTCTAAGCCTAAGCAGGTGCACGTTTACCGAAAATATCGGAAAACTAAAATATTCATGTGTGACGAGGTATCACAGGTTTTACTGCACGGACACGAAAGAAGCTGATGTAATTCAAACAAATGCGAAGGTCAAACGCGGAAGACATGGAATCCCGTGATCATCAACAGCGTACAAATACACACAAAAATATCAAAAGTGTACAGTGAACTAAAAAAAATTGATATTCTCGTTATTCAACTCAACTGTTTGACCCCCTTTTACTATGTTATGCATCCCAAAAGCCATGTTCCGTCATTACTGTTGTTGCGCTGGCACCAAGCTCGCTCGAAAGCTGGGGATAAATTTTTTACAATAAGTAGTATATGAATGATTGGAAAAAATTTCCCTGGAAGCACACGATCGGTTTCACGGTTCTTGCCGCACGTCTTTTCATTGATATACACGTAACCAGGAAATGTATTTTTGTCACAATAACCTCATTTGCAACACCGGGTTAATTTGTTTGGACAGCTCTTTCAGAACCAGTCCATTGAAGAACCAATACTATGATTCGATGGTTTGAATATATATAGCAGAATATAGTAAAGTGAAACTTAACGATCGGTGTTAAACTCTCAATATATACAAAATTAAAGAGAACATGTAAAACCCATGGGCCTATGTTCGGGGGGAATCTTTATGATCAATACCCAGAGTACAGACACACATATATATACCTTTACAAGTACTCAGATTAGATAAGAAATGACAAGAATGTCGCTACTGTTGGTTTATCGTCATATCCGTTAGTCTCCGCCAACCAGTGCAGTCTTTTGGACTCCAACGTGGATGAAGGAAGACACCTTTTCTATCTAATCATCATCATTATCATCGTACAGCGGAATACAGGGAAGTGAACTTCGCTGATCGCTGTCAAACTCGCAATACATATGCACTGGGGTTTGATGGACGTGTACTACTAGGGTGTCCAGCTACTAAGCAGGAACTCTACCTAATCGCTCTGTGCATTTCTTCATGCCTCGCCTCCACATGATTTCCTACAGCCCGTCGCATTAAAAGCATAATTTGAATCATCCCAACTGCTTCCTTTCATGCCGGAAATTTATAATAATTAGACTAGCGACGATGCCTTAAATAAATGCTTTTTGTGACAAAATACTATCATCACTTAAGGGTTTTTACTCTTTCATTATCAAATAAGGAAATCGCCTATATTCAGCGCTGTTTGGCCTAGTACAGTAGATGAATTGAAACTTTGGACTCGAGCCGTTAAGTTGCACCCGAACAGGATCGCTACGTAGACGAAGTGCGCACAATGTAACTTTTTGGTGCAGCTTTCTCCGTTCAGTTTGAACCAATGGATACGTTTATTTTCTACTGAGACCTATACACAGGGAATAATATCTATCAAGAAAGACCCCTCCATCTATACGATGGCGGTGATCGAACGGTTTAAATCAGTGTTGCAAGCTTTCTTTGGGTTCGAATCCTGCTATCAGTAATTAACTTTGGTTGTAAGCAGCTCTGTTGTCACCCAGGCTTAACACCGCGCCTATCCCAGTGAATAGGGTTTGCTACACCAAGACCCACGTGACCACAGAGTTAATCCTTCTATTGTTCACCACACAACAGTTGAAAATTTCGTAATATAATTACTCGCCAAACTCGCCGCACCTAAAACTCGACTGAAAGTTTATAATGAAATCATCTACCCGGTTACCCACTGTTCTTTTAACGTGCAGTCAGTGACCACTGATAGAAAACAGACCAAGCAACTTGAATTTACTACAGATTATCAGCATGGTCAATCTAGTCTTATATACGATCGCATCAAAATGTAACATTGAAGACCTAAAATCATGAACAGGTTTGTACTGTATACTTTGCTAGTCTCACCATTATCTATGAATGTTTTTTTCCTGATTTACTTTATTTCCCCGGTCTCTCACGGCCCGTGGAGTGTGTCATGTTTAATTCTCACACTTATCTAACAACAAGCTTAACGCTAATTGGCAAGGACTACAATTATCTGTATTCCCTCGGGTCATTCATTTGGTCCAATACAATTATGAAAGTAGAGATGATTTACGAGTCGTGATTAATAACTCTTCTAATACAAGTTGACAAGAATTTTACCTGATTCGTTTGGACAAGCCATGTGGACAAACACGACTGACATTTGTTATAGCAAGAGAAAAAAGCATGCCGTTCAGTGATAGATTGGTGCACGCTTGAACATGACAGGCCAATCCGTAAAAAAAGAACTCATTCACGGTAAGACTAGTGAAGGGTAAGCAAGTTCGGTCAACATCTGTTCCACACATCCGCTAGCTAGGAGGGTGGAGGTGACCGCACGCAACAATCAGTGTACACATCTTTTGTAAGCCGGTCAAATACATCCAGAACCCGTGAACATTGCAAGCTGATTTGTTTTGTTGTAAACGAACGATCAGGGAAAGCAATTACGAGGAAGTTAGCAGCGGATATATTGATTGTTGAAGAAACTTGGAAACACCTGGTGCGTGAAGCGTTACTTTGTCCATTCACCTTGTTTTCAATAAAGACAAGACGCTATTGTAAAGTCGAAAATATAACTGGTTTCAATACTGACAACCAAAAGTATCAGATACTTAATTACAAACTCCAAAAATCGCCCAAATACATCAAGTTATCATTGTCTTGTTTACTGACGTTTGTTGAAACTCGGGTGTTATGTAGGGAAGTGACAGCAGCATTATGTTACTTATCTTGAAAATGAACATAGTATATACATGTGCATACCTGCCCCTCGAATCCAATTTCTGCATTGCAAACTTTCACAATCACAGAGTATTTAGTTACACAATAAACAAACATAAACAGCATGCGCAAAATATCACCTAGGCAATTACCCAATAATTTGTGAGGAAAAATGATTACCTTTGCTCGGAATCGATCCAAGGGGCATGCAGAACGTAGTGTCCATGTGACCGTATTGACCAGTTCTTCCGATCCATACAAGTAAATTCGGGTTAGCGGATACGTGGCAGCAGAATCTACTAGTACGGCCGTACGCGCAGTGGACTCGTTTCTCAGTTGCGAGGCTGCGAAGAACGAGGGAGTCGTGATAGGACCGAACAAGCCAGGACTTCGTGGACCAGGCAAAAGGAGGGGTGGTGGAGTGGGGAGCACCGAGGACGTGTCATCTAAGGGAGTATGAAGGCGAAGATCTGGGGGCGGTACGCCTCGACGTGACAAACATTGCAAGGAAATCATGGGTGGCGATGCGGCTGCACGTATTGCTCTATCTGTGTGACTGTCTCTCGTTGATTTTTGAGCTGAGAACTGTTTGGGAAAGTGCAAGAATAGAAAAAGCAATTCTCATCAAGGAGAAATTAATATTGTCTGCTTTAAACTGAAGTTAATCGGGCAGCGAACGGTAAATGCATTTATCTGCATACACGTATTTCAAATCGAGCATTAAATTACCGATAATTTTGGACATGATGAATTTTTCATTGTATGCTTAGTAGGACGAAAAACAGAGGTAATCCAATAGCTACAGGACCTACTATTTGAGCATGGGTATCTGGTGTGAACATGATGTAGTAAATAATATGCGACCTGCGAGGAGAGTCGGGCGACAACAAGGCCACCGAAATCCTCAGTACGGTAGGGGTGGGTTTCTAGGTTTGTGATTGGTCACCCTGCCCTTGCACCTCACGAAATGTTCTCATACGACCAAACGTCTCAAATAGCCTCTGCTGAGGAAGCCCTACTCACTGCCTTCTCGCGGCGGAGGTTTTTCTCACCAAAGTGAGAGGACGAAAAGTCGATATCCGGGGCTATAACCGGGTTGGTGAACCATTGGCAGTCCACCTAGAGGAGTTGGCCAGAAATCCTGATTCCAAACCAATCAAGAAGAAGTGTACGAACCACACACACACCTTCCTGGTTGTGGCAATGATCACCGGCTCGATTGAGCATCGAGGTATACTGGTCACCTTGGACATTTGACCTCGTCCAGAGGGCGTATGGTCCAATGAACTGGACACCGGCCCCTAATGAACTGCGGAATCTGAGCTCCGTCTTGTTTTCTTGCAGGTCTGGCTCTATAGCCAAAGGCTTCGGATGAGGATCGCGAGGTTTTCCCTTTCTCGAGCAGGGAAACCGGGAAGTAACGTGCTCATACAACCTATGAACACATTCTATAGATTGTTTGTTTATGTTGGACACATTTGCCAGTTTTGTGTAATTGATTATGTGTTGAAGTAAATAAAATAAAAACTTCATACTCAGATGTTTAAATATACCTGCCAGATTACATCAACATTCCACACAAGTGAAGTAACTATCTGTACACAAAAAAATTACTGATCACTTGGTGCTAGCTAATGATTTTTACAAGTAGAGTTTTTCTTTCTCGGATTGCAGTGTTCTGCCCATTTGCAAACCATAGATCATTTTCTTTTGTGGTAAAGGCTATTGCATTTTGATTCGTTAGGGGCACAGTCTGGAATCAGACACGTGAAATATAAATGCACACTGTCGACCTCAAATAAAGGGATATGGTCCGCGGAGGCGATTGACGATCATGTTGCTGGCGCTATGCGCTTGGCATTTAAAGGTTTCATTTTTCACACAAATTTGATTTCTCAAAAATTAAAAACGCATTTTGGTTACATCAGAACTGAAAGAAATGATGTCGTGAGATGTTGATATTTCTCTCCAATCACTGGTGTAAACTAAACAGTGACTTGGTGGATTCGAATGCACGGACAAGTACAGATAGATTGCTGTAATAAAAAAACCAAATGTTAAATTCCATGGTGCACGAAAGTGCATGGTTAATGGTTGGACAAGCTGAACTGAATTGATCATATCAATAACTTTTGGGTGCAAAAAATCAGATGATGCAATCGTATTAACGCTCCACTAATTACAAAACGTTTTCCATCGCGGAGTGTAAGTGGATGTACGACCAACTATGCATCTGGCTGTTATGACGTTTTGCAACAGACTAACCGCCTATTGGGTGTCACTCATGTAATCGACTTCACCAACTACTCTAAAATGTGATCAGCCGTTGGATCTGACAGCTGCTGTAACCGTAATACAAGACTTTTCGAAATTAGTTATTAACACAACTTCATTATCTGATTTGTGCGTCCAAATGTTA